TTAGTTTTAGTTTTATTAATTTACTAGTTTTGTGCCCCGACGATGTCCGGGTAGTTTATGGACTTTTAAGATAAAATTATACTACCTCCGTTAAATATTATGTGCAACTTTGAAATATTTTATATCTCTCAAATGATACCCCAGATTTGCACATAACATTTAACGCATGTAGTATTATAATTCAATTTGATTGAAAATAGAATTCTAAATTAACTTTTTTTGCTACAAAGTCAATCTATATTTATCCAACGTGGTACGATACTTGGCGAAAAATTAAAACGCTAAATAATGTTGTCTTGTGGCCTAATTATAAATTTATTATTTGGTATTTTATCGAAAATATAACTCTAAACTAATAATCTTATTCTAAATTTCTATCCTAATTTGATTGAAAATAGAATTCATACCTAATTTTTTTTTATCTTATGAAATCTATCCAAGGTGGCGCGACACTTGACGGTTTTTTTATCATATGAAGTCTATTTAAATTTATCCAAGGTGGCGCGACACTTGGAGAAAAGTTAGAACGCCAAGTGTCGCTATTTCGTGACCTGACTAAAAGTTTAGCTTTATATATTAGTTATATGATTATTAGTTTTAGTTTTAGTTATCTTTTCTCTTTCTCTCTCTAAATTTTCTCTCTCTCTCTCTAAATTTTCTCTCTCTCTCCTTTTAATTAAACTCTTTGGCCATGTTTGGTAAATGACTTTTTGGTGGCTTCTTTTAAACAAACTCTTTGGCCATGTTTGGTAAATGGCATTTTGGTTAGCTTTTGGCTTTTAGCTTTTTTATGAGGTCAAACAGCCAAAAAATGTGTTTGGTAATTGGTTTTTTAGCCAGTGAAAAAACTAGTTTTTAAGCCAAAATGAAAAAGCTACTTTGAGTAGTTTTTTTTGTTGGCTTTTGGCTTGTTGGCCCACAAATTATCTAATAAACAGCCAACTACCAACAATTAATTTACCAAACACTTTTATAAACAGCCAGCTTTAACAGCCAATTTCAAAAGCCATTATAAACAGCCAAACATACCAGCTGGTAAAACAAGCCAAGTGAACCAGCCAACAGCCAACCGCCAACAACCACTTGCCAAACAAGGCCTTTATCTTACTTTCTCTCTTATTTCTCTCTCTACAACTCTTGATTTAATTTCAGTAATTTATTCTCTTTCTTTGATCATGTCTCCTTTAATTGTTTTGTTTAGTTTAGATTTAATTATGCGCGAGTAGTTTTCTTTCTAGGGTTGTGGGGATCCATAAATAATATGAAGGGGTAATTTATTGTTGTCAATTGTCAATGCTAGATTAATTTCCTATTGATTGACTATTGATTGATTTAATGCTCTGTGACTAGATTAGGCCTGATCTTTTATGCATGAGTTTGACAATATTGATTCGAGATTCGAGAGATGAGAATTGATATTTAGGTCTAGTTTCAATAGGCAGGTTAATTTATAAATGATGAAGTCGAGATTCGAGAGATGAGATATAATACCGGTAAATTAATTCTGTGATTGTAATACGTAGCGAAAACCCTCTATGATCTTATTAATTTATGCATTGATGATTGATTGTTATATTTTGCCTTGGAATGTTATTTATTGGTGAACCTATGCCCTAGGTCTTTTATTCACTCTTAGTAGTTTAGTTATCCTTCTATTACAATATTTTGGTTACTCACACTGAAATTCCCTATGGATTCGACCCTACTTCCCTATCTATTTTAGTTAGAGGATTTAGAAATTACTTTTGATTAGGTGATACGACATTAGCCTGTCACTCACACTGAAATTCAGGTAGTCATTAATTTACATGCATTCTTTTTTTGTGTTTAACTAGTCTTTTAACCCGTTCAATGCACGGGTTGATATTTAGGTTAATTTTCTTGAAATTCGTCGCATATATATATATATATATATATATATATATATATATATATATATATATATAGGAATGACACATTTCATCTCTTGGTTAAAAATTTTCCCTCCAATTTTTTTTTTTTTATAATTTTTTTTTTGGCCAAAGCTTCTTAGAGAAGTTTTTAATACAAACTATGCAATAATATTTCATTTCTTATTTGATAAGTGTATTCTATTTGTATACATTCAAACAAAGATATTATTTTTTTATACAAATAATATGCAATAATAGTTTGCTATCTATAACTTTGTAATGTAATTCATAGTTATTTTTATTAGTCGTGCATATATTATTCTCTCTGTTTTCTTTAGTGTAATAAATTTTTAAATTTTTTTTTTGTAATTACAGAACTTTTATCCTATTTTGCAATTAGGTATAATTTTTTATAATTAAATAATAGTTTTAAACTAATGATAAGTATTAAGTATTAAAAATTACCGTGCATGGCACGGGACTTAACCTAGGTAGGTATATTTACATAGATATTGTGGGATATTAAACGACATATTGGTTAAAATTATATTTAAAGTTTAGGAGATAAAAAGATTATTTTATTGTTTATGTAATGTAATGTGCATTAATTAGTTTAACTTTAATTTATAATGTTATAAATGAAATACTTTATTTTCTTACTCAAATTTACAAGTTTCAAAATGCATAAAGACTTACACATTATTTATTTATCTAATTTTTTTATATTAAAAAAGAAATACAAAAAGGGAAAAAGAAAAATATTAAGAAAAGTGACATGTGGCATATGAGTGATTGTGATGACATGTGGTTTAGTATAAATTTGTAGTGTGTGTTTTTTAATAATAAGTATAGATATAGATTTGGTAATCTCCAATTGCATTGGCCTTTCTATTTGATACTCGTCGAAAATTAGGACTTTTATGTATAAGTCCCACCTGACAGTATTTGATGAAATGTTGAGTTAGTGATAGCCTATAGGTGAGACCGTGAGAGAATGTGAGATGTGAGCATGAAAGTTTCTTAACACGATGTGGGCATGAAATTTCGCAAGGAGTGAATTGATTTACGCTCATTATATTATAAGACCCAACTTTCCTATTCCTACTAAAATAAAAACAAAGTACAATTACAAACCTACATGCTACAGTTGGCTACTAACCCTATAGGAGTATAGGCTATAGGAGGAAGTTGTAATGCATAACAGTTATGCACAACTAATTTTACATAACAAACTTTTTCACCTCTCAATAATACTGTTCAGTAGTAATACTGACATGTGTTTCATACTACTAGGAGCATGAAAAGTACTACTAATAATGTTAGTAGTACTTTTTTTCTTATCTCTCATTAGTACTTTCAATTTGTTATTTTTTACAGTATGACCACTGATATGTGTTTGTTTTGTGCATAATTTTTACTTTTGAACTCCAATCCCTTAGGTTATAGTAACTACTCCTTTCGGCTCTTTAAGTTGGTGCCTATATTTTATAATTGGTGTTCTAACAAGTTAATACTACCTCTGTACTTACATTTCATAAATATCGCAATACTTTTGACAAATTCATACATAACTTTAACCATAAATATTTTAATTTTATTTTACGGAGTTTTAAGAAGTATAAAAGGATAGTAACTAACTTACTACTACCTCTGTACTTTTTATTTGCAACAAAGAGCCCTTCATGGACTCATAGGCACATACTCTCTAATCTCTATGCTTGAATTTAACAAATATATGTGACTAAGTGGAGGAGAAAGTGGGTTGATTAATTATTCACCATATCCACCACCCTACCCGCCTCTCTTTAAAACCCCACTAACATCCACCCTACCACCAATAGGATCTTGATCGAAACACCCACCCCACCCACCACGTAGTCACAACCAAACACCAAACATCGATCGGAAACCCAAACAAAACCCACCCACCTCGGCCTGCAATGACTGAATACCAAACAAAGACTAGAAACCCACCCCTCACCCACCCTTATCAACAACTGCAAAGCTACCCACATTAGAGGTGATAAATAATTCCAGTCGGACCCTGCCTGCATTAACATCAAATGTCATGCCTAAATTTGTAAAAAAGTGACGGGCTTGTTGGGCCAAAATGAGCTTTTTTCGACCGAATTGGGTTTTAAACTTTTTTATTATTTTATTTTTTTGCTTGCTCAAGCCCGTTCTATTTTCGAAAAAAATTAAGTTGAGCCATAGTTGATCACATCTACCCCTAGGGTGTCCAAATCCCATTCTTTGGGGGTTTAGTTGTTTAGGCATGGGTTTTAAATTTATAAATTTCTCAAACAAGCATATGGAGAAAATCTTAGCCATTTTAAATCCATACCACTAAAATTTCATGAACCAAACATCCTCCGTCCACTACTATTTATAATAGGGTAATGTTATATGCGGCTCTTAGGGCTGCATATAAGCATTTAATATACTTCATTTTTTAGTATTACCTCCGTTTTTATTAGTTGACACGTTTTGATTTTAGCACTATTCACACACTTTCCTTTGATCATGTTTTGTGATTTATACGTAATGAAAAATATAATCATGTGAGTTCTTGTTAGATTCGTCATGCATGGTATATATTTTCAAATTATCAACTTTTTATAATTTTTACCTATCGATAATTAATGATATTAATGGTTGAAATCGTGCATTGGCAAACGTGACTAAATAAACGTGTCAACTAAAAAGAAACGAAGGAAGTATTAAGCTGTGAATTTATCAACAATTCACGAGTAATCGGTGTAATAAATGTTTATTTATTGTCAATTCTTTTCACTTTTAGTTTCTTATATCAGAGCTGCATATATCTTTTTCCTTTAAAATAAACATTTTTGTAACATATTGCAACTTTGCAAGGTTAATTGTTAAATTTCCTAAAATTCTTCAAAACTACAATAAAATCAAGTTTTAAGTCCCCTAAACATCCTTTATTCTGAACCCTTAAGATTTCAAGATAATTCAGTTCAAGTTTTCTACGGTTTGGTTTAAATTAATTGGGATTCCGTTTAATTTGACAATTACATTTTGACATTTTAAAATTGGCTTAAATGAAAAAAATGTTTACTAGCTAATTAGCATAACTAATAAGAATCAAACTTTCAAGGGTGAAGGGTAATGTATAATTATAGCCGAATGAATCTGCACAATACATACAAAATCGTTTATTGTAGTGTTTTAACAAGGCAGCAAACTACGTATAGGACCTGTCATAATAAGCTTTCATGTGTAAATGCTCTAAGAAAAAAAAAAAAATCATGCCACCCACTCAAAAGCTAGCTTCGCTATAAATTCGAATACCATGAAGGTGCTCTATGATGTGTAAATTGTAAAGCCTACTCAGTAGTTCGACGTTTGGCCTAATTTAGGCTACTATGTTCTCCAAAGGATATCACTTGAGGGAATTCTCAATGTCGATCACAAAACGATATTTCACATCCCTCTTAATGAGCCTCTCAATAGCTTCATTTGCATATTCAATTGGAACAACTTCTACATTCGGGTATACTTTATTTGCAGCGCAGAACTCCAACATCTCTTGAGTGACTTTGGTACCACCGGTTATACTACCAGAGAAAGTCTTCATACCTGCCAGAAAATCACAAGATATAGAGAAAAGTGATGGAAGCTGCATATATAGGATCTAATTTGCATGAAATTCAGCAGTCCAGTTCAATTAGTAGACAAACCTAATAAAAGACTCGCAGGACTAAATTTCACTTCACTTGGGAAGCCCACCAGAACATAAGCACCAAATGTCTTTAGAAGCCACAGATATGGCTCAAACTGGTGATCCCCTGATGCAGTATCTACTATAAAGTCCAATGATCCAGTGAGGGCCTAGAAGAAACGTATCAGATCAGTCAAGAATAACAAACTGTAGAGAGTAGAGCTATAGTAATACTTATAAGTTAAGCAATAATCACCTTCATTTGCTGTTCATCAGATGAAATAACAAAATTGTCTGCCCCGAGTACACTCAAGGCCTCCTCTTTCTTTGATATACTGGTGCTAAAAACAGTAACTTTCAGTCCAAAAGCCTTACCAAACTTAACGGCCATATGTCCAAGACCACCTAGCCCAACCACCCCAAGACTTTTACCAGGTTGGTTCATATTATGGCGAATCATGGGAGAATAAACAGTAATTCCAGCGCATAATAGTGGTGCTGCTAAGTGCGAGGGAAGATTGTCAGGAATCCGATAGCAGTATCTGAAAATTCAGCAGGGAAAATTTTAAAGTAGCCTCATTGTATTAGATTTCTTAATAGCACATTCACTAAATTCTTGTTCAATATGACACTGGTGAATTCGCTCTACTTTCAGGTGATCAAGTCAACTACTGGAGAAACAAACGCAACCATTACAGGACTTAGGATGGAGTCTTGAGTCCTCTGTCATCATCCAACCAAATGAAAAGGAAAAACTGAAGTAAAAGTGGTGAGATACTAATCAATATAAAAACTATGGGTCATATTCCCACAAGTTATGCACTTCCAAAATACAGTTCCTTTATCAGGAAATAGGGATGAATCATCATTGACTGTTGTTATAAGCTACTATTTATAAGGCATAGCACAAGGTAAGCATTTGCTAATAATTGACTTAGCTTTGGATAGAACTTAGAAAAGTTATGTGTGATTAAGGGAAGAGGATGAAGATTGGTTGATTAATTTCTGGAAAACAGTTAAATGTGGATAGTTGCAAGCTTTTGAGGGGCTTGCTCTCTCCCAAATTTTAATAGAGAGTAAAATCTAACACAAAACTACTATCGATATTCAACCTGTATCTTTCTCCCAGACTTGCTGTAATTATATAGCTTCTATTTAAGTAAAAAAACTACTACAATTCTACAAGCCACTAATAACGCCATTATTATGCTGCTACCTAAAGTGCCCCACCCCTTAATACTTGTGCATAGCAGCATTACAGATTTACAGGTGTACTACTCCAACTTGTTACTTTGTTAGTCATCTTCACGGTTATCTTAATCACTTTTTTATGTTCAAATATAATGAAGTGTGTTAGTGTCCGTAGATTGAACCATAATAGGATAACATGTGGAATTCTAAACATAGAATAAGCATGAAGAAACAATGATGTACCTGAAAAATAACACATCTACTAAACCAGCGATTTTTGAACCCCATATCAACTATCTATGAAATGACAATATACTGGTTTCTAGATCATTCTTTACTTAAAATATTCACATTGGCATGCTAAAAACAAGTGAAGGTAAGCATAAGGAAAAGGTTTTCTTGCACACATTTTGATATAATGCAACAAACTTTCAAGACACATTGAGAGAAAAAAAGCCAGCTATAATTAGCACATGGAAAACATTGTAACAAAGCTCAGACGCTTTGCACATGGAAAACATTGTAACAAAGCTCAGACGCTTTGTTGAATAGCCATCAGCTACCTAATTCTATTATATCCAATGGGAAGGAATGAACCCCCTGAGCAACGAAGGAAATGAAAATGCATAGAAATGGCTAACAGCTATAAAAGTTGGACTTAAAAGCAATAGAAACTATCAATTACTGCATCCAGCAAAAAGAATAGCTAAATGTGTCAATATGGGTTGCAATGTTAATCAGATATCAAACATCTTCTTCTAGTCTGCAAAGATGCTAACTAAAGTCACATCAAGACGGAAACTTACACACAATTCTACAGTGAGGTTTTGTCTAGACTTCTGATTATAATCAGTTTAAACAAGTCATCCAGATCTACTCTACAATTTTATTTTATTTTAAAAAAAATATTGCTTTAATCTATACATAAGTAGCAAGATGAGGCATAGCCATAGGTCCATAATGCTCTTGTGTACAAGTGTATAATATTTATTAATGTGTCACTCTGATCTCAATGAGAAAGAAGGAAATTAAATTGTATGATAATTACCTTTCATGAACAACAATAGAGCTAGAGTAACCTCCTTTTGTCACTGTACCATCTGCATCTACTCCATTAAATGTGAAGACTGAACCTTTCACACAATTCACCTCCATCCCCTCATTACAATACTCACAATCTCGACATGAGTTGACATAAGTTCCCACTCCAACATGATCCCCAACTTTGAAACGATCAACCTTCGGCCCAACCTCTTTCACTATTCCAACTATCTCATGGCTTAACACAGAAAACACAATTTCATCAGATCCAGAAGGCTAGTTTCAGTATTATAAATTTCATTTACAATTCCACTATAAAGCTACATACCCAGGCACCACAGGATATTTGGAGTCTCTATGAAGGTTCTTTGTCCAAACCACATCTGCATAACACACTCCACAGTGTGTAATTTTAATTGACACATCATCCGGTGCAACAGCCCTAATAATGCACTTATGATTCAGTACATAAAAACCTCATAAAAGGCACATCGAAGTATGCAAAACACGTACAATACCCTTCATCATACCTGCGATTGAATTCATAAGGCGATAGAACCCCTGATGGATCTCTAGCTGCCCATCCTAGGCAATTCGCGTGTGCAGTCTCAGAAGCCATACTCAGCTGATTCTGTAAATGGCAATAAGTAGTAAATGAATGTCAAGTTTATGAGAAGCTTTTTCACAGCTTATGCATTGAGCTCACCTCCCTATTTAACAAGGAGGGTCACATTCACAATGCAATACACATTACTTAAGGTAGGTAAGGATGACCAAAAAGGATCCTACTGACTCGGCACCTCTCTTTTCACACGATACTTTAAATTCGACGAATTTAAGCTCCCTCAATCCTAATATGTTATGTATAATTCCAGTAAAACATCAACATGTACCTAATCAAAAAACTTTCTCCCTACAATGAGATTTTTTTTTTTTTTTTTAATTTTATTATTGTCATTTTGCTGTACTACAATCTAAATGAGAAATTCAGACTTTTATTTATATTTGGTTACAAAATCTAAATTACATATTCTAATTCTATAGTTAATTTGATTCCACACTTTTGATATCATGAGAAATATAATCAAGAATTTAAATTTAACAGAGGATTCAATATTACTCCTACCCCATAAAATTGAAATATGCCCAGCAAAAATAATTTCCTAATTAAAAAAGAACAGCACAATTCAATTGAAAATTTAAGTTAAATTGAATTAACTAATTAATACTTCATATACAATTTTGAATATGGAATCTCAATCAAATGAAGAAAACTATACAGAATCACAAGCCCAAAAAAAAGAAAAAAAGAAAAAAAAAAAAAAAAAAGCAATTGACCACATTATCACCAGAAAAGATGAATGAATTGCTAACAAAAATACAAATTGAAACGAACCTGAATTTTAGTGGGGTTGAGTGAAGTGAGAAGTTAAAGAAATTTATATAATTATGAAATGAATTGATTAATTCTTGATAATTATAGAGATGGGGTTGGTGAGAAAGAGCATTCTATTAATCATCAATGGCGTCAATGGTTCAATTTTGTTGTGCTTCAGTCGCTTACTCTGTTCGTCAATAGAAAGACTTTTCAACTCTTCTGGATTTGATTTGATGCGCTCAGCTCTTACGAGTTACGAGAAATATCAACGATGAACTAGATACTTCATTGGGATTGGCTAGATCTAAAATTAGGTTCGGGTAAAGATGGGCACGGGTTATGCCGTATAGGTCCACGAGTCAATAGTCTCAATACTAGAGTATCTTGTGCTCAAGCAGGTCAGGCTTATAACAGCCTTATGTCATGCTGAGGCTGAGTTTATGCTGGTCTTTTATAGACAAGGCCCATGCACAATCCGGACTGCGTGTCATGTCATGTTTATGGGGCACTTAATAATTTCTGGGTAAATTGGTCAAGTCGGCATGTTGTGATCGTGCAACAATTTGATATTGAAGCTCATGCAACTAGGGTTGTTCACATTAGGTTAATCGTGCTTTAACAATACGGTTAACAGCTTGACCGATTACTTAAAAACACAAACCGTAACCGTACCATTAAGGAACAATTAACCGCAGCGGTTAACCATTTCTTAGCGGTACAGACGTACAGTTACCAGTTAACCGCTAACCAATAAAATAATTTTAACTCAGTACTTTTTTTTTGCCTTTTTTAGAGTTTGAACTTTAATACTAAGTACTACACATATTGATATAAACAATAATAAGTTCGAATTAGTTGATTACAAATCAATAAATGTTCTTTTAAAGTTAACTTAATAATATATTTTTTTCCTAAAAACATAGAATATTATATAAAATATATATTTTTATTTTAACGGTTAACCGTTTACTCAAAAGTGTAATCGTAACCGTAATAGTTAACCGCTATATTTAACGGTTCGGTTAACCACAATTGTTTATTTTTAACTATACGATTGATTAACTTATAAAATGAGTTAGTCATACCGGTTAACGGTTACGATTTTTTTTCACACCCCTACATGTCACAGCTCACCAATGTGCCTATTGTGTTGTATTGGGTTGGGCTATTTTCGTGTCGTGTCTAACCGACCCTCATATTAGCCCGACCCATTTTCATCTCTAGGCGTAGACCGGGTAAAACCAACTCAATTTAAATTAATTTTTGGAGGCAAGTGGAGTTATCGCATTCATATATGTCTCTTATTCAATGTTGGATTTTTTAAATTGACCCTACTTGATGTCAAATATGAAAGAAATTTTGCATGATTATACTTCATAATTGTCAATAGATTTGAAAGTTATCTAATTTGATACAGATTGTAAGTGGAATACTTATCGCCTACATACAGTGGCGGATCCAGGATTTTACGGGTGCTAGGTCACCGTTACCCATCGACCGCATACCAATCATAATTAATGCATTAATATTCTAAAAGTTAATTAAAAAAAAGACATTCCAAAAATATTAAATGTTACGGGGAAGGAGAAGGATAATGACAAGTCACTAATGAAACTACCAAAAAAAATTCTAAAAAAAGACATTCCAAAAATATTAATTGTTACGGGGAAGGAGAAGGATAATGACAAGTCAGTAATGAAACTACCAAAAAATTTTCGAACAATGACTTTAACAATGTACCAGTTTGAGAACTAAGTAGGTAGTGGTAGATATATGTAAAAAGGAAAAAACAAAAAAAACGTTGTCCCTCGAGTCATACCCATAACCTTTGGCAAAATTTACAATGCCTCCCACCATTACAACACTAAGCACTTACTTGTATAAGTGCATTGTTAAATGTTTATATATTACATCTTCTTAATGCAAGAAAAAAGGAAGGAAAGTAGCTTCCCCTAGGAGTCGAACCAGTAACTTTAGCCTAAAAATATGAAGCCTCCACCATTAGACTACGGAGTACATATCATTACTAGTTGCAATATTTAATATTTAAACCTTCTCTGTTTTTGTGCTAAGTCACGTGACCTACCGTGCACAAGGGTGGCTCCGCCACTGCCTACATATGAACTAAAATCGAATTTAGATCGATTGCCTATTACCATCGTCGTTAGTTATGCAGATTTAAGTTGTGGTGTCTATTGAAGTATTGAGTGAGTATTAGTGTAGCATAATGATGTTTCTCTATTGTTTAAGCTGTTACATACTTACATGTGTGCTTGGGATTAAGACAAATCACTTTTTATCATTAAAAACCTCAAACCACTAAATATTTTGTAAAGTGTACATACAAGTTTTTACAAATTTAATTACTTCATATTATGATTTTGAGAGGTAAATATTTAAAGATATTGTGAACAACAACACAGAAAATTACTGAATTGAGATCAAATTTTGAGCAATTTCCATAGAAAATGTCCAAATGTATCAAAATTCCTCAATTATACCCCTCCCTTTTTCAAAACAAAATTCTCAATCTATTGTGAGTTAAGCATAAGAGAAGGACTTTACTTTTTGATTTTTTCACCTTTAAGGACCTCCCACTTTTTTTTTTTCACCTTTGAGGACTTGTGGTTAATTTTCCGGCAACTTAACTCAACCTTAACTCACCAGAGCAAATTATTTTATAAAAAAAAAAAAAATTAAGTCCTTACGTTACTAAATTCTTTAATTACCAAACTTAGGTCCTTACCAAATTCTTTATACATTACGAAGTGCATATCATAATTAATTCATTATCATGCATAAATGATGGTTCCTTAATCAGAATTATTTCTTTCTCATTCTTAGACAGTTGCTCCACTGTAACCACATCGGTGGACTTGCTGGCCGACGTTCTAAGCTAGTCAGTTCGCACCGAGTGATATATATATATATCATCACGAAACCCCCACCTTCCTCAATTTGTTTGGCGTATGAATGAAAGAAACCCCAAAACTCCCAACTTGTTTCCTCTAATTTTCTCTAGCTCTCCCCTTGTTTGTATGACGGAAAAGCCACAACAACCACTATCCTCGTTAGTGTTGACGGACTTAAAAAATTATTGTGCGTTCGATTATAATGTCGGGCTGCTGCAATTTTTTTGTTGATTGGTTTTTTATGGTGTATTATTTGATAAGGTTGATGATATTTGATTGTTTTGGGGTTTATGTGGTTTTAGATTTAATGAAAGTTTTACTTACTAATTTTGTTTCTTATTATTTGCTATTAAAGGGTTATTATCTGTGATATATATATTAAAAAAATTCATTTGTTATAAACAATAAGAAACAAAGTTGTTTTTTTTTTTTTTTAAAAAAAAGTTGTATTTTTTTTTTTCATTTTTTTAATTTTTTTTTGGACAAAGAGACTTGATGAAAGTTTGGTGATTTGTGGCATATGCTTCAATAATTATCCGGGTTAGTGTTGGATTTTGGCCTTTAATAGAAAATGTTGAAATGGAGGAAGAGAAATTGTTCACATTTATATTTTAAACTGAAGTCCTTAAAGTGAAGAATAAAAAAGGTTAGAGGTCCTTAAAGGCGAAAAATATGAAATGTTCGGTCCTAGAGTTTTGTTTACTTACTTATTAGTGATGTCATAAATTAATGCTTAACTCACCTTGAGTTAACTTAACTCCATTTTGGCCGGAAATCAAAACTTAGGTCCTCAAAGGTGAAAATAAAAGTGAAAGGTCCTTAAAGGTGAAAAAATCAAAAAGTGAAGTCCTTCCATTATACTTAACTCATCTATTGTCCATGTCAACAATTAAAAATATCAATTTTTTTTATTTAACTTTTGCGGTTTTAAATTGTTAAAAGAAGCCGTTTTTTTTTTTTTTTTTTTTTTTATTATTATGTGAACAGTAAATTGAAAATTTTGTAAAAATAGAGACTAATTAATGACTTTGTGCATTTTGTATGAAAATTACTCTCAAATCTTTTATTTTTACACTTTGTGGCTTTGTTTTATGTTTAACCCCAAGAATTTTCATCTTAAGGTTTCATAAATTGCTTCAATTAACCAATTGTTATTGCGAATACCTTTGAAACCTCTCAAAGAGTCAAATTTGAAAATTTTAGAGTTATATAATACATTAAAGGCAAATACAATGTTTATTTGCTAGATTAACGAATTTTGTTAATCTGATAGCAATTTTTGTAAATATATTCAAAAAGCGTGGTCATTTATTCAGTATTTTTGTACAGCCGTTCAATTATTATTTACAACTTGCATTTAACAAATTACTCATATACCCCTCAACTAGTATATGCAAAGATGCATGTATCCCTCAATTATTACATGAAAAGACGCTTATGCCCCCAATAAATTTGTTTATCATAAAGACAAACTGATCACTACTCATTAAGGGCAAATTGACATTAGACTCAAATAGACCTAAATTATTCCAAACCAAACAAATTAATTTTTTTTTTACTACTTTAAAAGAATCATTTTTCAAATTGATCTCGACCTTAATAAACCCATAATTCTTAATCTAATACCGTATTTAGATTCCAAAAGACCCGATTGTCACCCTCTAGACCTCTACTCGTAGGCCCCATAGAGAACTGTTAAAACTTAAAACAAACAAAACGCCTATAGGCTGACTTCACTATTTTCGTCTCCTGCTTCTAACACTACCCACCTCTTAAGCTAGTTGGTCCTTGAGCCGTCAAAATTAAAAAATTTACTGACAAAATTCCCGGCATACAAATTTCTGCTGCTTCATCTTCCTACTACTCCCCTACTAAATTAACCAAGATCCCATTTCCTTCTTCTCACTTTCTCTCTCCTCCTTCAATTCTCAGTTGTGATCTTCCCCATTTTGCATTCAATTTTACTACTATGCTATAACTGCTTTTTGTTGCAATTTTCTGGGTTTTATTTGATCAGATGTAAGTGCTTTTTTTTGCTGGGAGTTTTTCATCAAAATCCCAAGAAACGTAGAAGATGAGAGGTTCAATTGCTTCATCCCCAAAAGCCCCAGAAGCCCGTCATCGTGTTTCTGCTTCAGTGTTCGTCTTCTTTCTCTCTCTAACTTTCTGTTTTGCTCTTAGAGTAGTATGATTTTGAATGTGGGTTATTTGTCGGTGGAATTTACCATTGTTTGATCATTAAGTATAAGTTCAATTTTGGGGTGTTAAATTTTAATGGGTATTTAATTGTTTTTGTGGGTTCTTCAATGCTCATTTTTGTGGGTTCTTACAATGCTCATTTTTGTGGGATTTTGCTGTAAAGAATGCTATAATTTTGTGTAGTTTGATGTTGATTAAATTGACATTTGAATTTTCATGGTTTTGGCTTTTCGAGGTTTCGAATTATTTTACAATGTATATGAATGTTCTATGATGATGGGGCTAGTCATTTAACCTTGTTCATCAAGGGTAGATGGGATTTTGGGGAGTCATTGTTAATGAGATTTTAGGCTTGGACTTGAAAGTTAGGCAAAGGTGGAGAGTTGAGGGGGAGGGGAGGGGGGGTGGGGGTTGTGCAGAGGGATGTTGGCTTCCCCATTTAGGTTCCTAACCTAACTATTTGGTGAAGGATTGCTAAGTTATTACGACTCGGATACTCATGTCAGGTATAGGTATGTGCTCCCATTGTTTGACTCGAGTATTATCTGTAAGTAATCCATGATTTTGGACTAAAATGAAGGTTTGAAGAATCCATTCCCAAGCTGGAGTGTTGAGGATTTGACACGGGTACTTGAGGTGCAATGAACTAGTGAAGAGTCCAAGTAACATAGTTACATAGGTATTGAATATGGGGATGATGTAGGACTTATACCGAACAAAACAAAGCAGTCATTTATATTTCTTGTATTTAGTGAGATAAGCTGCTCTACTTCTTGTGACTGTTTATGTGTGTGTGTTTGAGGTGGAGGTGGGGCTGTGGGGAATTGGGAGAGAAGCTGCAATTAGTCATTTATGAAGTTTAATAGTATACAAATTACGACCCAGTAATAGTATATAAATGCTTTCCGGTCATTAACTAACTTTTGAAGCTAATTTAACTTCACTTTTAGCTCCAAAACAATGGGGTGTAGGAGCTAGTATACTTTTCATAATTTTGGCAATAAAGTTTAGTATAAGTAGGATTCATTGAACCAGTTTATTGAGCAATAATATGTTCTATAGATATAGAAAGAAAATCTGACAGTTAGGATCTAGCATTTATCTTCTTTGATTACACATGTTAGCAGCCTGTTTGTCTTATTCCTTACATTCTAATTCTCAGTATAAGGGAATGTGAGCGCTGTTAGTAAAATTGGGCTCAACACTGCCCTTGCCAGTCTAAATAGTTTGCTTGCTAATGTTTCTCTGTCTCTTTGATTTCTTTCAGTGAAGAATCAAGCAAAAGAAGGTCTCTAAGACATCGAGATAGTAGAGATGTAGAAAAGGCATCATATACTTCCTTCCAAGATAGAAGTTATAACTGCAAGTTTACCCCATTAAAGTTCATCCTAGTTGTCGTTTTGATTGCAACATTTTTGACACTTCTTCACTCTCCATCCCTTAAGCATACAGAACATATATCGAAATCCAATTCTCAGTAAGTTTCATCTTTCACTGTTCTTTGAGCAATTCCTGAGGTTTTAGCTCTATTTATTTCAATTTATAGTTTGTTATACCAAATTAATTCAAGGTTTCAAATTTCCTGCTATATTTTGCATTACCTGAATCAGTGACCACTTCTGCCGGTTTCTTCTTTTAAATTTACGCATTTCCTGTGTTTATTTTCTGAGTTTTATAGTAGTGACTATCATTTATCCTATGCAATTTGCTTAATACGGATTTTTTATGAATGCAGGATGAGCATTGTAGATAGATGGAGAGGGGATAGTCATGTTGACAAGCGCTATGTATCCGATCTAGCTATTGATTGGAATCAAATCTCAGAAGTCATGGAAACTCTTATTGATAAGAATGACTATAAGGCTATAGGCCTGTTAAATTTCAAAGAAAATGAAGTTGATAGTTGGCAGGAAATGTTACCTTCCCCTGAGCATATGATTTTGCATCTGGACCATGTTCCTAAAAGTTTGACTTGGGAAACGCTGTATCCTGAGTGGATTGATGAGGAAGAAGACTTTGAGATACCTAGTTGTCCTTCCCTTCCCAGTATTCAGGCTCCTAGAAATGCACGTATGGATCTTATTGCTGTGAAGTTGCCTTGCAACAAGCTAGGAAAATGGTGGAGAGATGTTGCACGGCTGCACTTACAGCTTGCTGCAGCAAAGCTTGCTGCATCTGCTAAGGGGTCATATGATCTGCATATACTGTTGATTTCTGATTGCTTTCCTATCCCAAATCTCTTCCCCTGTAAGGAACTTGTGTCGCGTGCTGGGAATGCATGGCTGTACAAGCCCAATCTCAATACCCTAAGAGAAAAGATTCAGCTTCCTGTCGGATCATGTGAACTTGCGCTCCCTCTCAATCCAAAAGGTATTATGTCTTTGTAGATGTTATTCTATTGGTGCATGTCTGGCTTTTGTGTTTTTAAGATCTAAAAGATATATATTTGTTGTGCTGAAATGTTTTGTTTTAACTCTGGATATTTGAATTTATGTTGTGGCATTCGTATGGGGTAATCTTAGACTCTTAGCTACATTGCTTATACTTAGTTCAGCCTACAAAAATCTATTGCACCAGAACACCACTCAATTTGGTGAGGATGCTGTTAGTCCTTGTTGGCCCACTTTAGCATGTGCACAGGATGTGTGGAAGGGTGCATGCTGTTAAACAATAAATTGCTTGGCGATTAAATTTCATACTGGTAATTTTCTTTTTCCTGTGCTGACAACTTTAACACAGACAGTCAGACACACAGATGTATCGCTCTTATGAATGAGAAAGAAAAGCTACAAGCCAGGATATTGATAAAAGCTCAGTTAGACTTATACATAAATACCTGCAATTCCATTTTGATAAATGTATTTCATTGACTGAGGTGATAAAAGTTTCTTAATATGATTTTTGCATTTTGAAAAACATTCTATCGGAACAAATATTGAAATAGAAAAAAAAAAATGCTGGCAAAATGCTGGATCTGGGAAGTGTGCAGAGTGCACTTATGCCCCTGCAAATCATTTCCTGTCATTTTATCGTTTATTTGATTTAAAAGTTTATATACAATTATGTAAAGCTGGGTTAATGTAGTGAATAAGTTATAAATTTTTTTCACAATTCTTAATTATGACCAAATAAAATTATGCAAGGAGAAACCATTGAATTTTTCCCCTTTACTTGGGGAGGGTGAGGGGGTTAAATCCTTCAGAGCTAACTGAACAATTTTTTGGACAATTTTAGAATAAGATGTCCAAATTTCCATGAATGAAAGTCATGTACTATTTTAGCTTGTTTATATGCCTTTCCTTTTAATGAGTACCAATAGTTTATTATTAAATGCACTTTCCTTCAGCCCTGAATTACCTGTGAATAATGGTGTCATTACGTCATTTATTGTTATTTCATACTTTTCAACCTCTTAGTATGGTTGTGCGCATGACCAAATGCTCTGTATGCTGCATGATATTTACTAACGATTAAAATTTTAACTTGAACTTTTATATCAGCCTATCTATCTTCTGGAACTGCACATCGAGAAGCTTATGCTACTATCCTTCATTCAGCACACGTGTATGTATGTGGAGCTATTGCAGCAGCACAAAGCATTAGAATGTCTGGTTCAACTCGTGATTTAGTCATACTTGTTGATGACACAATCAGTGATTATCACCGAGGTGGCCTTGAGGCTGCAGGTTGGAAGATTCATACCATCCAAAGAATCAGGAACCCAAAAGCTGAACCAGAAGCCTATAATGAGTGGAACTACAGCAAATTCCGTCTCTGGCAGCTAACTGATTATGACAAGATCATTTTCATAGATGCAGACCTTCTTATACTCCGAAATCTCGACTTCCTATTTGGGTTGCCAGAGATTTCTGCCATAGGGAACAATGCTACTCTTTTCAACTCTGGGGTTATGGTAATTGAGCCATCTAATTGTACATTTCAATTACTAATGGACCACATTAATGAGATTGAATCGTACAATGGTGGGGACCAAGGCTATTTGAATGAGATCTTCACCTGGTGGCATCGGATTCCCAAGAGAATGAATTTCTTAAAGCATTACTGGGAGGGTGACGAGCCTGAAAAGAAAGAAATGAAAACCAGGTTATTTGGTGCAGATCCACCAATACTTTATGTGATCCATTACCTAGGCTTGAAACCATGGCTGTGCTTTCGGGATTATGATTGCAACTGGAATAATGAATTATTGCATGAGTTTGCCAGCGATATTGCTCATAAAACTTGGTGGAAGGTGCATGATGCGATGCCTGAAAACTTGCATAAATACTGTTTGCTTAGGTCTAAGCAGAAGGCATCATTGGAATGGGATAGAAGGCAGGCTGAGAAAGCGAATTACACTGACGGCCACTGGAAGATAAAGATCAAAGATCCAAGATTGGAAACATGCTTTGAAAACTTCTGCTTTTGGGAAAGCATGTTGTGGCACTGGGGTGAGAAGAATTGGACCGACAATGCAACTACTTCATCTTCACCGGTGTCAGGGATTAAAACAGCTTCTCTTCCCTCTTTGTAGTTTCAGGGTCTGATTTTTGTCCATCAGAAATATATAGACTCAGAGATATAGCAAAAAGAAACAACATATTTTTCCTGTGAAAATTTTATAGAGTATGCTGAATATGCTGATTGCATATGCCGATTTCAACCCTGTGAAGTTTGAATCACTAGTCGCCCTCGAGTCTGATTCAACATTAGGCCTGTTCAGTCTGATAGATCAATGTTATGACTAACTAGGAACTTGCTGCAAAAACCTAGTTACATACATACGTTCACATTACACTTCAGTGTCTTCCACAATTGCACATTATAATTGCACATTATCATTGCACATGTAATCCAATTTTCCTCTCTTGTAGAAAATGAAGCTCACTTCTTAGATAGTAATAAAAAATAAAATAAAATAAAATAAAATAAAATAAAAAAGAAAGAAAGAGAGAAAGATATCACCTTCTTGCAATCTTGCATTGAAAATTTTAAAAAACAAATCACAACGAACCACCTCACAGCTTAGCATCTCTATAGTATTTTGCAATTCGATACAATATCTACTTCAAACTCTTCTCTCTAATTATCTTTAGCGTAGCCCTTCATGAATGCTCATCAATTTCATTAACAAACTGTATGTAGTGTTTCGTTGTGTTTGCAATGTCACCTAAGAGTTCAGATTAAATTTTGTCTACATCATATCATTATCATTTATGACTCTTTATTATAAAAGTAAATTTTTGACCATATAATGAATGATGCCATGCCCAAAACTATACTCAATTGTGATGGGCTATTTGTTATAGGCAAATCCAAGCAAAGACTATTTGAAATGCTAAGAACTAATAAACACAAAACTTAAAAGAAAGGGTATTAATATTGACTAGTACGTGTCATGGGAGTTGCCCCTACCCATTTTTAGAGAGTGTACTTATTTGCGCACTTATTATTATTGAATAAGGGGAAGGTTAATTAATTCGTTGATTGCAAGTCGTACAACATCTGTAATAGAAATGAGTGACAGCCAAATACATATCAAAATGGATCAAATTAAAATTTACTTTGACAAAACTTAGATCACTACCAGAGATATCTGGTAGCACACTCAAACTCTTGAATAAACTATTGACTGAAAATTTCTGAACAAGCAAACCAAATTTTGAAACTGAATCAAAGTCATGAACAATATTACTGTGGTTTACATATAAGAAAGCTGTTTTTATAACTTTGAGCTGAGATTTCCAGACTTAAATGACTATACAAATAACTGAAATGATAGATCCGTCCTTGAATATCAACTGAGAACAAGGCTGACATTATCAGCAGGCGAATTCAGACCTCGACTAGTTGTGTAATTACTTGTAGTTGTAGAAGAATATGCAGGTCTTGAATACTCTGAAGCTTCACTGGTAACATAACTAGAGTCATCATCAAATGCCCAATCAGTCAAGTATGTTGGCTTTGATGGAATAGTTCCCACTTCAACGTCCCCAGATAGCATCGCCAACACACGAGCCATTGTAGGGCGTTGCCCTGGTGATGTTTGGGTGCATAAGAATGCTATTTCGATCACTCTTTTCACCTCGTCCTTGTTGTATACTTTCAATCTCTTATCAACAAGCTCTATGTCTAATCCGCTCTCATATAGATGCCATGCCTACATTAGCAAGGTATATACAAGAAATCAGTTGTCAATGGCATGTTACTGTCATTTAATTTATTACATTTTACATACAATAGATGGTCAAAAGGGAAATTCCCTGTTTCTCATATTGAGAAACGAAATTTGTTTCTCATGGGGGCATTTTTGTGAATAAATCAACAACTTTTTTCATTACGGCGGGCTCCACGATTGAATAAAGTTGTTGGTTTATTTACAAAAATGTCATGTGAGAAAGTGGGGCATCCTCTGGTCAAAACACACAAAAGAAGTGTCATGGATCATACCCAATCAAGAAGGTACATCTCTTCCTTGGGTAAGGTGGGCACATGATTGGATCTCCCGCTGACTATTTCTAGAGCAACAACACCAAAAGCAAACACATCGACCTTTTCTGTAAGATGGCCACGCATGGCATACTCCGGTGCAAGGTATCCACTGTAAGAGATTGTACGCGCTCTTGTATTAGAGCACGTAGATAGAAGTGCATTATTAACAATCAAAGTAAGTTAGCTTGGTACGAGGATCTTACACTGTGCCAGCAACACCAGTGCTCATGTGAGTCTTTTTCTCATTAAAGTTTGGCTAGACCAAAGTCTGAAATTTTGGGATTAAGATCTGAATCGAGCAGGATATTACTGGATTTAACATCCCTGTGCACAATTCGAAGGCGTGATTCTAGATGAAGGTAAGACAAGCCTCTTGCCACCCCCAGGCACACCTCAAAGCGCTTAGCCCAATTCAGTTCCAATTTATTCTCTCCTGTCATTTGAATAAAAGATGAATGCAGATAATTAAAACAAGTCCTGCATCATGAGTTCGTTGCATATTCTATATACAGAAGCTTATTAAGAAAGAGTTATACCGAACAAAACTTTATCAAGACTCTTGTTCTCTAGGTACTCATAAACAAGCAAACGCTTTTGCCCATCAATGCAACATCCATTTAACTTTACAAGGTTTCGGTGCTGTACTGCAGATATCGTAGCTATTTCTGTTATAAATTGGTCTTTCCCTTGATGAGATGTTACAGCCAGCTGTTTGACTGCAACTACATTTCCATTCAGGACTCCCTGTAATTACAGACATAGCACAAGTTTATTGACAGGTACATTAGTTTATCTTATAACAGAAGATGAAGCACCATGTTTATTATTAACAGTTTACCTTATAGACAGATCCAAAGCCTCCTTCACCAAGCTTGTTTGAAGGGTCGAAATCTCCAGTTGCTGACTTCAGTTCAGCATAACTATATGCTTTCGCATCAATGCCTGCCAACTCTGCAAATATAACAGAAAAAATTAAAATGGCACCAAAGAGAAGTGATTGCAGATGTTTTGGCCAATGCAAGTTCTATAAAATCATAAAATTCAGTAAGGCATGACATTATTTTGGACTCTTTAGCTTAGAAAGTTTAGAGTAATAACTTACTACTTCAAGGTTCATATGATAGTAGCATTATTATAAAAAGATATATTAGTAAAATATAAATTATACTCGACATACCATCTTGTGCTGCACGCAATCTCTTTCTTCTTTTAAAAAACCAACACGCACCCAAAGAAAGAAGCGCAAGGAGAATAACTGGAACAACTATTCCGACAATTATAGCAGCTGTATGACTTGTTGATGAGCTTATAGGTCTTGGTTGAAACACTGGAAATCAGAATGTAGTTGATTACTTCATGAAAATTGAAATAAACAGATAGAAATACTATCCTACTAAACAAACATTAAATTACATGGAGTTACGCTGACAGCTGATATCATAGGTCCATAAGCTCCCTGGACAGGTATGCAGCATGTTCCTTTTCCAGCCCAGAAAAGATGTATTTCAAGAAAATTTGCAGTCACCCGAGCAGTATAGTTTTTCTGAACAGGTCTATATGAACGACCCCCTGCCGCCTTGCGTATGTCAAAATCTCTTTCCACCCGATTTCCCTGGTTTACAATAACAATAAGTTAGGCTACAAGAAATAATGTAATCAGAACAATCTCTTAAACAACACAAGTTGTAACTGTTACCTGAATAAGAATATCAAACACACGCCTTCCAAGACTTTTCCATGTACCACTGTCTTCAATTTGATTCTCTGCAAACTGCAGGAGCACGCTGTAATTACCATTCTGAAGCCCAAGTCTATAGTACCGTAGGGATCCAGCTGACAGTTTAGCTGTTTGAAATAATTCAGAGTCTTGGCTGATAAATTGGCGCGGACTGTCAAATGTATAAGTGACATTGTTGTTTGATGCTGGCAATCCAACATTGCTGACAGCCCACTTATCACTGCTTGGCACAAAATAAGTAGCAGGACCAAGCGTCTGCAATCCACTTTCATATACAACTTGATTTGATGCTCTAATTTGTGGACCACCACAGTTAACTGCAAAGTCAGAAACTGCACGAAAGAGCGGCTGAATTAGAAATGTTTCTTCTTACAGATAAGTAGAAATATATCAAGTGCAGCTGGTACCTGGATATCTCATTGATGCCTAAGACATTAATAATAAGTGAAAACAGATAAATTTGTGCCCGCCAACTGAATTAGAAATGTTTCTTCTTACCGTCTAATGTCTATATGTTTGATAAGCTTTAGTCACTACATAAAGTTTTTGAAATTTCCCAACAAACAACAGGTAAACCAAAGGCCAAAAAGGAAGTAAAAGTATATACTTACAACGTCCAGCACCAGCGTTGCAAGGGAATCCGTTCTGCAAACAGTTCAACCCTGATGGCAAAGATCTGCAATCAAAACATTAGATGCTAAACATAAACAAGCTATTACATTACAACTAATACAACGACGAATTATATTGCAAGTTACAAATTAGTACAACTTCATGGTTGATTTTTGTAGTACATGCAGGGTATTAAATATTTGCTGCATCGTGACTGCATAGTATAGGCCTTTTTAAACTCCGCAAGACCATGAATTAAGCCGCTACAGCCACAACACAACTTGAAGCCATGTCTAGGTGTGAGCCACATCTAATGCATTGAAACAAAGTTGGCTTATTTTAATTTCAATTTTCAAGTAACTTTAATAACAGTAACTGTACACCATGATTCTGAAACAACAGAAATACTACAAGAACTCCAGACATCGTTGGCCAATTCCCAAATTATCATTGTAAGGATGCTGGAATGCTGCTACAATTCTTTCTCATAAGATAATGATTTACTTAGTATTAACATGCTTCTAGAACAGCAAGGACTAGGAGGTTTTCAGCTTGAAATAACATGCATCTAAGAGTGTTTTAACAGAAGATTTGAGGAGGGCTTGTGCGACATGCACCCTTCTAGGCTTAAGTTATCGACATTAAGTAATAAAAATCAAAGTTTAAGCCTTCCGATCCTAGAATCTGGAAGGATAAGGATCGTTTGTACTAGTACTCTAAAAAACTTGTACTTCCAAAAATATCATTATAAATGAAGGTAAACATATTTTGGATTCAAAGAAAATCATCAGTCAAGCAATTATCTAGAAATTTTCTGATTTTAGCAAAAATTCTAACCTGCTGTTTGAGCCTTGTACCGAGAAATTATTTGCAACTAAGTTACTGCATTCACAAACAACTTTGATAAGAAATAGGTGAAACACGAAACAGAACAAAGTATACAGCATATGAAACAAGATACTGATGGCAATTTTGCAATTCATAGAAGATTAGACAAAACATACAGTTGTAGTTTCGGTTGGCTGACCCAAGAAGGGAAGCTCCCAGATAGATGATTGTAGGACAAATCTCTGTACGCAAAAAAGACAAGATAGTTACTATATACAAAGAAAATTTGTCAAAGTATTATCTAATAAAAAAGACAATAGAAAAGTGGGAAAAAATTGTAATAGATATTTGAAATCGTACAATTGTAGGAAACATTTTGCACAATTCAGAGTTGTCAGAAGTAATTACAAGATTGTAATAGATAATGATTTCAGCATGGTAACATAGCTTACATAGTAGTCAAAGATGAGCTTTTCTGAGAAGGAATAGCCCCGGTAAGCCTATTATTTCCAAGAAACCTGATCACAAAGAAAGAAACTGCATTAAATTTCTGAATTATGTGTTTGAAGAGATAAAAGAATGAAACGACAGCCCAAACTATTAACAGTAGATATTGCCAGAAGAGTAACAAGGCACAATACTCACAAGTAAGCAAGAGTGCTGAGACTGAAGACAGAATCTGGAATTTGTCCTGTTAAGCTGTTGAAGCTTAGGTCCCTGATGTCATTCGCTTTCGTCAATGCCAAAGGAAATAAAATAGAAGCCAAAAGACAATAAATATGATCACATAATCACTACAGAAAGTAAGTCTTTATGTCTATGTAGATAAAATCGCCATCAACATTTTCAATGATTCTAGCTACTGCAATAGAGTGAAGCAAAGTGTTACCAGCCTACCACTTCTGAACACTTCAATGGATACTAAGGACATTACTTTAATAGGTCAGTCCAACTTCATGTTATTCCTTTAATCAATCAATCCAAGCCTTAGTCCCATAATTGTGAATGAACCAAAAGCGCTCATTCTATGTGGTCATAAGGAGAAAATTATTTTCGTTCATCCAAACTACTATAAAAGTACAAAGACAATTAGAAAGTCTTAACTATGTAGGAACTCCATTTGGTACTTGTTTAACACTCAAGGTGTGCTTGGATTGGCATTTCGGAAAATGAAGGTGATTTAAGGTGTACAAAGGGATGATGGAGTGGTGATGTGATTAGAAGGGAAAGATGGAGAATTTTTTCTTACTTTGACTTAGGGTTTGTTCTCTTCGGCATTTTTCAGTTCAGTTCAGTTCAGCTCCAATCAATTCAGTTTAGCTCCTAATTTCCTTCTCTCATAAACAATTTATTTCAGCTCTATTCAGTTCAGTTTAGTCCAGTTCAGTTCAGCTCAGCTCAGTAAATCAGAACAGACCCTTAATGACTTAACTTAATGTATTACCCTAGATCCACATGCACCCAAAAAATCTTATTCTCTTGTTTATTTATAAATTCCAAACTTAATTACACGTTGTCCAACAAAATTTTGAAACTTCATAAATCAACAACTGCTACACATAAATAGATTACTTTCCACTGCGAATTTCATACTGTAATAATATCTTTGGCTTTACACATCCAGATACATAAGATAATCCAACAACATTGATTTAGAATTAGTTGAATAACAACTTACAATTGTGTCAAACTTTCCAGTGCTCCTATACCACGAGGTATGGGGCCTGTGATGTTGTTATTTTTCAGAACTCTGCAGGAAAACAAAAAAAGTTTTCAAACTATCAAGTGCAAAAAAAGGCATAGTAAAATGAGAGCTAAGAAAAGCTCATATGTATGCTAGAATCTTGTGATCTTACAAGATGTTTAAGGATGTAAGACTAGTTACAAAATCCAGAGATGAGCTCCCATTTAGCAAGCCACTTATTCTCCTGCATGACAGATACAGCTGAAAAACTTAATTGCCTGAATGTCTTCTTAAGAATGCAGATGCGCCTTTATATTAACGAGTCACAAACAAAAACATAGAGAGACTAGAAAGAAAGACGGAATAAAAACAACTAAGAGAGAAACTCACAACTGCTGCAATGAGGTTAGTTTGGAAAAAGATGATGGTATTGGTCCCCGGAATGAGTTTCCTTCAAGCCTCCTACATGAAACATTTATAGTGTCATACAACACCAGATATTAATACAAAGTAAAAAAATATTTATTATTGAATTGACAAGAAGAACAGGTAAAATGTGAAATCAGAATTTTCTGAGTGAATTACTCACAGTTCTGTTAGTTGGCTCCAGTTCCCTATGAAGTCAGGTATAGGACCCGTTAATTCCATGTCTGATGCCCACCTGAATGATCAAAAGTTTCCACTCAATGAAAGCGATAAAACACTGCATATAACTCCGTAAGGAACTCTTTTAAGTAAGTATTTGGAAATGAGTTCAGGATGGGTGGGTCGAGTCATTGTGAGCCCTTACACAGTCTGAAGGTCTACTAAATTTGCAAATGTTGACGGGATTACACCAGTTGCACCAGAACTGTCAATGTACCTGTTAAGGAAGAAAAAGGTTATAGCTTAGCACTTACAATTGTTGCAATTTTTTGAGCCACAAACAATCTCAATATGCATCACTCAATAAACAAGACTAAGGACTTACAATTGTTGCAATTTTTTCAGGTTTCCAATCTCTGATGGCAAGGAACCAGAAAAATTGTTTGCACCAATACCCCTGCAAAAGTAAGCATACTACGTATCACATCTATTGCACTTCAAAGAATCGACATAGGAATCCACACACGTTTATGAATAGAAATTAGCGGTCATAGTCCCTATTAATTCAAATATGATGCTGATTATAGGGAGACATTTTCATTTAAAGACTCCTTTTAAAACTACTGGTAAGGAATGTAAAGTGAGCATGTTGGATACAGAAAACTTACAGTGATCGCAGATCAGTAAGTTTACCAAGTTCTTTCGGAATTGGTCCAGAGAATGCATTAGTACCAAAATCTCTAGAATTAATATAAATTGGATCAGAAAAGATAGAGAAAGAGAAACTAAACAAATAAAGGGTAGACTTTCACAAAACTTGAATATTATTTGATGTACATACAGCCATTGCATCCGAGTTAAGTTTCCAATGCCTGAAGAAATAGGGCCTGTCAAGTAATTTAGTCCCAGCCTCCTACATGACAGGAAGACATATGCATTATGTATGATGGGTTTTCTTAGGCAAAGAGACCACGCTTTCTTTAAAAGTTTAAACAGAGCTGATAGTGCCAAATTATATAGAAAAGCCATACAAGTTAGTGAGGTAGACCAAATTCCAGAGCTCGTCTGGTAGCACGCCTTTTGCATCTTGTGCATATACCTTGCTGTCATAATTTGAGCCAATATATCAGTTGATCCTTTGTATATGGAGCATATATATATGAGTTGAACCGTACGAGGAGCAGCAACAACTTACAAAGCAGTAATGTGGCAGGTAGTGTTACGATTATAAGTACAATCACATTTGATGAAGGGGTTGTAGTTAGTGTCATCAATAGTAATAGATCCATCAAGGGCTGCACCCGAACAAGGATCTCCTGTTGTATTCCACTGGTCAGTGTTTGCAGGAGTTTGCCACTGCTCTAGAATTGTATTCAAAGCTTGGACTGCACATTCAAAATATATGGATTCATATTCAAGTGTAAGTTTTTTTGTTTTGAAGAAATATTCAAGTGTAAGTTCATATATAGCAAAACAGTTAGTTGGACTAGGATCAAGAACAAAAAAAAAAAAGAAAATTAAAGATTTCTTTGTTTCAAATATGAGACCGTTTGTAAAGGTACCCAAAGCGGACAATATTATATTGTTTGAGCTCTGTAAAGGTACATCCGTTACATATTAGCTGCAACTTTGGGGTATTATTTGTAAGACGTTAAATTTTTAAAGTTGGAAGACTTGCAACTAATGTGTAACAGAGGTAATATCTATATCTATACTTAGTATGTAAAAACACAAACCATCATTCTCATAATGCCACATGTAAATTATATTTTTCACCAATGCTACATGTCATCTCATTTAACCTTTCTCATATTAAAAAAATACACTAGTTTTAATTCAATACATTAATGAATGTTTGGTTCACTTTCCCTCCGTACACCCTGTATATCCACACATTTATAAGTCTTAATAATAAAGATATTGAGTAAGATTATCAGATTGACTAGACTTGACTATTTACAATTATAAGATAGTATGAGTCCTCGAACAAAGCCAAAAGGAAGAAGACTTTGGAGTACATTACTTTCCAAGACTTAATCCATTTTTGTTGCTATATGACATTATGACAGCTACAGTTGTTAATTTGTCAGTCTGCTGGCATCCCAATAATGGATAAACACACAACTGTTCACATTTTTTACTTTACTTATTACAGTATTACTTGTATATTGTTAAGGTTAAAAGTGTCTTTACTTAATATTGTCAAGGTTAAAACATAATTTTAAATCTAGTTCTATATACAAGTGTTCTTATTTAGACTTTTTGATAATGGATAGATTATTAATTTCCTCGAGCAGCCACTCATTACTTATCTAGTACAGATCTCAATGTCTTGCTCATGTGTCCTCATATGATACTTATACGAAGTATATTTTCCTATAAATATGAAATGACGACTTTGGCCTGTTATGATTTACTAAACTAAATTGAACAAAACTTTTTATAAGAGAAGGAAATTAAGAACTGAACTGAAATTAAGTTGAAAAATACAGGTCCGTTGTCCACGGCCCACGGGACGTAAAAGCCACTACTCACTAATCCCTACTCCCTAGTCCCTACAAGTAATTTTGGCACTGCTGGACTAGTCACTTTCTAATTCACTATTGGCCTCGTACAGTCGTACTATCTTAATTGAATTATTATTTGTGGGGTGCCAATTGGAGTGCCAATATCGTTTCTCATGACAACTTGTGTAGGTGTGTCACACATAAGAATAAAGTATGTAGCCCGTATCGAAAGCTGATAAAAAATTCAATACTAATCATACAAGGAAAAAGATGAAAATGAGCTCCTACTTGATTTATTGTATGAATATGTAAGTATGTAACATGCATGAGTAACGTATAAATCATAATTGTATACATGATGGGCATAAACAACTATAGTTAGTTATTGAGGGTCTGTTTACATTTACTGAATTGAGCACTGATTGGAACTGAACTGATTGGAGCTAAACTGAGCTGAAATGAATATTTTATAAGAGAAGAAAATTAAGAGCTGAACTGAACTGATTAGAGCTTGATTGGAACTGAACTAAACTGAATTGAAATTAAGTCGAAGTGAACAGGCCCTGAGTTAGTCATTGAGATGGTGGGAGAATATATTTATGAATGAGGCCAAAATATGAAATGAAATGATGTTTAATTAGTGACAAATCTGACTATCACATCAACTAACATCATCGTTACATTACTTCCACAAATCACATCTTAATTAAACTTTCAACATTGTGATATTAAATTATTAATGACTACAATCACATCAACTAACATTATCGTTACATTATTTCCACAAATCCCATCTTAATTAGACTTTAAAACATTGTGATGTTACGTAATAAAAAATAAAAAAGAATGAAGTTCTAAACATTGTGAGAACACAGAAGGACCATGAACGTTGTCTCCTTCCTATTAATAGTATCATTTAACAAATACAAGTACGTATATACTAGTATATGTGTATAATAAAATTGCATTATTATTTGATCTACATAACGAACCCAAATTGCATTTTAGCCCTTTTTGTGGTGTCCATGTGACTACTAAAGATAGGAAATAAATCAATCATCACAAATTCATCATAATGACAAAAAAGACCTAAAATAATGTTATTTAACAATGCAATATTTATATTAGCCCGTACAAATGAAACTCAAAACAATTGATTCATTATTCCTCTTAAATTCCACTTTTGACACTATTTATACATGTACTGATGTACGTATTAACATAGACAATTCATTGCCCAAAAAAAAAATTCAAGTAATTTGCAATTCTCCAGTACAAAAAATGGTACAATAAAAAAAAAAAAAAAAAAAAAAAGGAAGAAATAGTTAAAAGTTGTGATCTATATAAAAACAGATTAATTTTATAACTAAATCAATTACATATTACTACCACCCTATCAAAGTAATAACTACAATTCATTTTAGACCCTCAAATCTCTCCTCAAAAAAATCAAGTCAACTATGAACTATCGGAATCCGAGGAGAGGTGGGTGTTGACAAAAAACATTTTAAAACAGGTGTGCTTTGACGAAAAATAAAAAACGGCTTTTCAACAAAAATAAAACAGGTGTGCGAGTAGTATTCTGCGATTGAGCAGATGAGCACGAGGCAATCATAAACAGTACAACCATGTAACAGCACCACCATGGTAGCCGAGGAAGGTTGCTGAGGCTGAGCCTATTCAAAGCAGCAGCCACCATTTTTGAACAAGATATCGTCACTTGAGAGAAAAGAGAGTATAAGGAAATGATGGCTATGACATTATTTTTGAGGGGGAAACAAAAATGGACCGACGAATGTAGTTGGTGTTGTTGTGGGTTTTATATGTACTAAGTAATATGTGTTTCTTATAAAAGTAGTCTAATACGTACAAAAGTCGTCTTGGAACATCTAGATCCTATTGCCTTTTTCTTATATGCAAGTATACTCTATTTTAATTGTATGCTATTTCGTTCGCCATGTTTTGGTTATGTTTCTGTTAATGAAAAGTGAGTATGTCCTTATGTATATTTGTCGATATTTATTGGATGTAATTACATTATTTATCTACTTAGTTAAGGTTTTAGACGTGGTACTAAAATTTAAAATTGTTATTGCTTCTAAGAGCATTTACATCAGTGAGCAAAAAATGAGTTGCTCATTCTGTCTCTAGCCACTTTCTCTCTCTTTCCATCTTAATTTGCTCATGAGCATATTTGGTGAGCATATTTTGTCACACTAGTGATAAAAAAAAATGCTCATCATTCTCTCTCCTACTTTTTCACATAGCCCACCAATACATGAATGAAGTTTTAGTGCTACTAATTACAATTACACTATTATTTAAATTAATACAATTATAAAGTTAGTTTGATGAGCAGGGCCCACGCTATTACTGTTCATTGTTAACTTTGTTCATTTTATGAGCATATTCTAATTTGCTCATTGATGTAGTACCTTTTTAGTTTTTGCTCATTAATTTTGCTCATGAGGAAAAAAATGGTCACTGATATGAGTGTTCTAAGGTCACACTTTATGAGGGTAATAATTAAATGGGTAATTAATAAAGGTCAAACTAATAAGAAAAAACGTAAGTTAAAACGGTAATTTTTTTTAAAAAAAATTTTGCTGTTAATGAAAAGTGGGTATGTCCTTATGCATTCCTATAATCATGTCGATATTTATTATTGGATGTAAAATTACTTGGTTAAGGTTTTTTTAGAGGTGATACTAAACCTTAAGATCGTCATTGCTCCTAAGGTCACGCTTGAGATGAGAGAAATAATAAGTGGGTAATTAATAAAAGTCAAACTAATAAGAAAAAATATAAGTTAAAACGGTGAAAAAGAAATATTGACATTTTTTTTGTGATAATAAAAGATATATATTGAATAATTATTTTCCAAAATAAAGGTGACTATTAGGGCTTGTTCCGATTGACTGAACTCAGCTGAACTGAACTGAACTGAACTGAACTTATAAATTAGTGATTTTTGACTACGGATTAGTGATCTTTGATTATTTATTACTATACATATGTGTATATACAAATGTACATATTAATAATAATAATATTATTATTATTATTATTATTATTATCATTATTATTAATTATTGATGATTATTATTATTATTTATTGATTATTATTATTATTATTTATTGATGATTATTATTATTATTTATTGATTATTATTATTATTAGTATTATTATTTCAATTATTATTGTTATTATTATTATTATTATTTACTGATTATTATTATTATTTATTACTTATTGATTATTATTATTATTATTATTATTGTTAATATTATTATTATTGTTAATATTATTATTATTATTATTATTGTTGTTGTTGTTGTTGTTGTTGTTGTTGTTGTTGTCGTCGTCGTCGTTGTAATAAGAGCTTAAAAGAATGAAATTTGGCTTTATATCATTAGCAATATCATTAGACGTAAATTAAGAACTGAACTGAACTGAACTGAACTGAGCTGAACTGAAATGAACTGAATTTCAACGGAAGAGAACATGCCCTTACCCTATGGTGGTGGTGGGAAACTATTACCCCTCATATGACTAACTCTTGTTATTTATACCCATCATGTATACCTTGCATGCCAACACCCGTTTATTCTCTCCAACGCCACTTTATACCCTTATTAACACCTCTAATTACCTTAGTTTTCTTATAGTTGACTTTTAGTACCCCTTCATACGTTACCCCATCACAAGCTAGCGTGGCCTAATTGTTCATTTGCTCCAACAAAAAAATAAAAAAATAAAAAAAAATAAGTATGGTGTACATGTTAAGTTGCTAATTTACCTTGATGCACTTATCTTCTTTTTTTAAATTTTTTTTTATTACAATGCACTTAGGGTTGTTTACATTAATTAAAAACAACTAAAATAAAATGAATTGTTTATGAGAAAAGAAAATAAGGAACCAAACAAAACTGAGCTAAATAAGCTGAAGGAAACAAGCATTTACCTTCCTTTATTGCATCTTATGTTTACTTTCCTTTATTCAAGTCATTAGATTAGTTCACCAATGCATAGTTTTAACAAAAGTATTTGTGAAATTTTTGTACAAAAAATAGTGTTTAAATATCTATATAATTAAAATTATAAATAATAAAAAGAAAGAATTTATAATTTTCCACTTCGTCCCTCCCCACTCCCACTTAGAATTTTTTTTTAAAAATATCAAAATAATAAAACCAACTCGCCCTATATTTCACTTTTTAATAATAATAATAATGATGATAATATTCTATTAACTATTACTAAAACAAAATGTTGCTGACGTCATCACTGTCCATATGTCACTCTTATGATATAAAATTTCCCGCCTAAATGCAAGATGATGTCATCTTTTTTTTTTTTGAGCTATTATATTTTATAATTTTAAAATTTAAATATTAGAAGCTTCTACATTACAACTACAATTTATCCTTAAAAAATGAAATAACTTTAAGATGTACACTAATAAATAGACTCCTACATTTAAAATATGTATTAGGCAAATTTGAACAGGTATTATATCATAATTTTGATGAAAATCTTTAAATTTTAAAAATACAAATTTTTTTGTACATGGTGCATATTCTTATTTATATTTATTCATTTTTAAAAAAAAAATTACAAATTAAAAAAAATAGATTTTATATAAATAAAAATACAGATATTTTTGTACAAGGTGCATATTCTTATTTAAATTTATCCATTTTTTTAAGAAAAAAATGTACAAAATATAAACATAGATTTTATGTAAATTGTGTATCGCACAGGTTTTAACCTAGTAATAATATATTGAAAAGAAAAAACCCGGTACTCCGTGATTGATTAGTAACATTGTAATATTTATTTTAATTTTTTTTAATCAATTCCACCTTTTCTTTTCTTTGTTTTCCTCTTTTCTTATTGTTTGGTATTGTGTACAAATCTATAAAAAAAATTAATAAGAAAACGAGAAAATGAACAAAATAAATCACACTAACGCATCAACTTATACTAGAATTATTTGAATTCTTGTAGATAGTGTTTGGATACTAGCATTTCATTTCAAATTTGGAATTTCAAATCTGAAATTTCAATTATAGACTTTCAAATCTAAATACTCTATTTAGGAAAACTTAGAATTTCAATTCAATCATTTGAAATTTACTGTATTTTTTAGAATAATATGCCATTTATTTTTAAATTGGAGTATGAATTCTTGTTCATTCAACATTACTATATTAAAAAAAAAATCTTTTTTTTCTCATGACTTGTCGAATCGAGATTAGATCATCATTATCAGCAACAACTTCAAGTCACCGTCAATTACTTTTCACCAGAACCCTAACTCCATCGCATATTTCACCTAAGAAATCGTCTTCAAATGTCAGAGAAGTTTCCGGGGTAACAACGAAAAATTGTGTGTATGCCTACTGTTGTTGTCCAAATTTTGCTCTAAATTCATAATCTCGACCTTCCATAAATTTCCGATAAGTATATGTCGTCAATCACGATGACAGAAAAATATAATCATGAAAGGATAAGGATGAAAGGGCTTCAATGGTAGAAAAGGCTCACACACCGCTTCAATGTAGAGTTGTGAGTGTTGAATTATTTAGAGTATTGGTGACAAATATTCATGTTGTTTGATTGGATTTCTTATGTCAAGGTGTTGAAATTCAATTGAACAAGTAAATGAGCAATTTGTATCTTGGTTTAGAGAAGTGTTCCTCCGCCCTATAGTCCGCCCAGTGGCGCACCCGGCAGGGCGAGCCATCGCCCAATAGGGCGCGAGAGCAAAGGAAAATTAAGCGTTGTCACCACCCGTTAGGACCATCGCCGCCCGACAGGGCGAGAGCCACCGCCCAGTCGGGCGCGTCTCCACTCGGTAGGGCGCGAGAGCATCCAAGTTTTTCTGCGTTGCTTGATTTTTCTCGCCCGAAAGGGCGCGGGAGGCAATATTGACGGTATATTCTTCAGTTATGCTTGGTTTATTGCTCTTGATATAAATATGAGAGTTCATATTGATGAAAAAAAAACTTTAAGAAATCAGTTTTATTTTCTTTTTCCCTTGAAACCTTTTGCAAGTTATTGTTCATCATCATAAACACAAAAGCTTATTTACATTGTATTGTAATCATCCTACTTGTGATTGCAATTGTTCTTTGTTGTATCTTCTGAGTAAATTTCCGTGATACCCAGTTGTAGTATAGAGTTGGAATTATACTTTTGGGAAAGTGATCCCGTTCACGCCTCAAAGATTTTTCTGTTAATTTCATTTGCAATTTTTTTCCGACTCTTGTAAACACAAATAAAATCCCCAACAATCCAAAAGTATAAATTCAACAAAGATGGAAAATGTGAAGGAATTGATGACCATTTTTCAGAACTTGGACAAATTTGAGGGAGTTGATTTTTGAAGATGTCAGAAGAAGATGCATTTCTTCTTGACTTCAATTGGAGTGGCTTATGTTCTCGCAACTCCGAAGCCTACGGAGAAGGAGGATGAATCATAATTGGATGACACTAGGAAACGCAACAAAGGGGAGAATGACAAGTACATTTGTTGTGGCCACATTCTCAATGTTATGTCTAATGAACTCTTTGATGTTTAAGTCTCTTTGAGATGAATTAAAGGCTAAATATATAGTTAAAGATGCTTCTAGCAAGAAATTTCTTGTTAGTAAATTTAACAATTACAAGTTTGTTGATAGTAGGCCAATTATGGAGCAGTTTTATGAGATTTAAAGAATATTAGGAAGTCTTAGGCAACATGACATAATTCTTGATGAGACCTTTGTAGTGTCATCTATAATAGACAAATTGTCTTCTTTTTGGAAAGACTTTAAAAGTGGTTTAAAGCATATAAAGGATGATGTAAATCTTGAGGGTTTGGCTTCTCACATCCGGATTAAGGAAGAAATCCGGGTGCAAGAGGGAAATAAGGATGCAAATCCTACTTCCACTACGGTAAATGTAGTGGAGGATGCCAAGCCAGGCCAAACGAGAGGAAG